ACGAAAAGCAGATTATGTCTTGTTATTTTCATGCACTAAATATCATTGATTAAATAATTAAATTATAAAATTTAAGCAAATTGATATGGTTTATATCGCAGAAAAATTATTTATATTATCGGAAAATTAGGCTTCTCTCTCGTGCGGTTTTGTTTTTTTCTCTCTTCTTGTTTCTTGCTGTTTTTCTTCTTGAAATGAAAGATAACAGAAATGAAAGATAACAGAAAAATTCTCCGAAAGCAACCTTCATCTCTATATTGCACCAATAGATCGAAACAAAATGTAATTAAATACGAAAAATGTGTCTTTGACATTTCTTTGTTCCAAAAGGTTATATATTTAATGCCTGAATTTTCCGAAAGATTCAATTTGTATTTTAGAAATAAATTTTATCTTATATAATAGTGGAAACAGATTATAATTTAGCGATTACTCGTGATGATGGATAATGAGACTGTAACTGGAATGGAAGACGAATATTTTAAAAAAGTAAGTTTAAAGGGAATATTGATAGATAAATCTTAGGTTCTTTTTTTCATATTTTTCTACTTTATATTTTTCAATAAAAAATTAAGATGTAATATGACAGATATTCGCAGAATTATTTGAAGGTTATTTTATTGCAGCGCCCCGGTGTGGTAGTTCTACATTTACAAGAACTCGAGAAAAGGTTCTTCGACGTCGTCGCCGAGGGAAGTGTCGCCGAAGTGCGACTATTTCTGGAGCAACATCCGGATTTCAATATAAATGTCATAAATTTTCAAGTAAGTGTGTAAATTTATAATTTCCCAATTCTCTCAAGAATCGTGAAATATTGATATTGAAAGAAAAGTACGGTTCGAGTAAATTGAAGAATCTCGTTCGTGCAAAATTGGAAACTCATTGTTTGTTTCATGAAGTTGATCGACCAGTGAAAATTCTCAGCAATGATTGATAAATGCTATTAGCATTGCTAAATTACATCCTGCTGGAAGGGATCTTTCATAAATCAGCTACCGGGTTCGTTTGTTCTTTTTTTGCCTGATTCGTCGGGCAATCCACAAAGTCGCGCTTCAAAACCAAACTCTTAAACAGCTCGTAAAGATTCTCAAATTTATCTTTTCCGTCGGTTTGGTATTTCATGATTTAAACGATATCGCTACTCACGTTGGGATTCCGAAAGGACGGAGCGTGTCAAAAGAAAATACGCTTTTCGCATTTTCCGATGCTTCAGGTCAATTCTGTCAATCTCTTCTTTGAGACCGTTTATGTTGGTGATTTATGCAAGACTTTCTACCGTTTGTATTTGTTCTCGGATTTTGTGGAATCAAGAAAAGAAACTTGAAAAGAATGGATCTAAGTTAGATGGTATCTAACTTAGATGCAAGTCAATGTGTGATTTCTGATAAAAATTTTCGACGTTCTTAAATACTCTGTAAACATTTATTTATATGTCCGAACGTGAATCAAACCGTTTCGAAATCTGTGACAAGCTCGTGTGGCCCATCTTGTGCAAGAAAAACGGCGGAACCAATGCAGGAAGAAGGGAGTCAAACGAAGAGAATGAGAGGGCGATGCGAAATCTCAGTTATCTCAGATCTTTACCCTATAGAGGAACACGTACCCCCCCGTGGAATGTTTCCCTCTTCCATTCGGCCGGTAACCACCTTAATTCCTTTGCGATGTGTTCTCCTCTCTTTGAGAGGATTCCAGAAAAGCGACCAAACTCTCTCGTTTGACTTTGAGACTGAAACGCCGAAGCGGCACGAAGAGAGACGGCACGCGAGTGGAAGGAGAGGAGAAAGAAGAGGAGAGAGAGAGAGAGAAAGAGAGAGAGAGAAGAGAGAGAGAGAGT